ATGGCAGACAGCAGAGTGTTTCATTATAGGGTATGCATGCCTAGAAATAATAAAAGTCAGGCCAGGCACAGTGGCTCACACCTGTAATCCCAGCACTGTGGGAGGCCGAGGTGGGCAGATCAATTGAGGTCAGGAGTCAAGACCAGCCTGGCCAACATGATGAAACCCCATCTCCACTAAAGATATAAAAATTAGCCAGGGTGGTGGCACACACCTGTAATCCCAGCTGTTTGTGAGGCTGAGGCACAAGAGTCACTTGAACCTGGGAGGCGGAGGTTGCATCCAAGATCGCGCCACCTCACTCCAGCCTGGGTTACACGGTAAGACCCTGTCAGAAAGAAAGAAAGAGAGAAAGAGAGAGAGAGAAAGGAAGGAAGGAAAGAAGGAAGGAAAGAAAGGGAGGGGAAGGGAAAGGGAAGGAAGGAAAGGAAAGAAAGAAAAAAAGTAAATATCCTAGGTTATTCCAGTCTGGGGAAATTCGGGGTGGATCCAGAAATAGTGTACCATGGAGCCATCAGACACAGCCCAGCGACAGCAGTGCTTTCCATCCTAGGAGCAGCATCACTGATGTACGGGTGCGTGAGTGCCCAGCACAAAGTAGGGTCTTTGTGGAAGGAAGGAGGAAGGAATAGCTGCAGAGAAAGGTCAGCGTAGTGTTCATCGCGATCCTGGCCTGCTACTTTCACTAACACCCCTGGCAGTGTAGGTGCCTGTTGCTGCAGACACAGGCCTGGAGGGGCTGATGAGTGCATGTGACATTGCGGTGATGAGACAGTGAGTGGGGCTTATTAATTAGCAGATGTGTATTGAATGCCTGCTCCATGCCCGGATCTGAGGCCACGATGGTGACTTTGTCCTTCCCAGGGAGATAAATACAGAGAGATGAGGAGGATGGTGAGACGCGCACCAGTGAGCGCTGCCACGGCCTGCGGCAGACAGGCCTTTACACAGGCAAGGCACTCTCAGGCACTTCAACCAAGTTATTGTAGTGCTGGTTACCAATCAAGGTGCTCCGCGAGCTTTGGGATCAACCCTCATTTTACTGTGGAGGGAAGGCCAGTGCTGTTTCCCCATGGACCATGTTGCCTGCAGTCTCCTCAGGGAGATGGGGATTTGCTAAGCTTTTGAAAAAGATAATGGTTTTTGTCTCCCTCCCTCCCTTCCTTCCTTCCCTTTTTTTTTGACAGAGTCTCCCTCTGTCGCCCAGGCTGGAGTGCAATGGCACGATCTCAGCTCACTGCAACCTCCGCCACCCAGGTTCAGGCGATTCTCCTGCCTCAGCCTGCCCAGTGGCTGGGATCGTAGGCACGTGCCACCACACCCAGCTAATTTTTTTTATTTTAGTAGAGACGGGGTTTTACCCTTTTGACCAGGCTGGTCTTGAACTCCTGACCTCAAGTGATCTGCCCGCCTTGGCCTCCCAAAGTGCTGGGATTACAGGCATCAGCCACCGTCCTGGCCTGGTTTTTGTTTGATAAAGCTACATTTAAACTACTAGAGGTAAAAAGTTTCCTGGGTCAACTTCGTAGGGTCGATTAGGACCTTAGAGAGCAGGGAGGAAACTACGTGACACCTGACAACAACAGGAACCGGAAGGGACAGTTTTGGAGATGGGCTGAGATTTCATGCAAGGGAAGTTGGTGCCCAAAAGGGACGTGGAAGACTGGGGAAGCTGTCAAGAGTACATTTACTGCTTTTTCTCCGTGGTGGTCAGGAATTTAGAATTTCTTCTTCCTTAAACATATACAGTTCTTAATGGTGAGATTATTTTCTGCCAGCAGGACGCTCGGAAGAGAAAGGTCCGTGGACGAGTATTTTTGCTTTGCTCGATGTGTTTCTGCCAGCCTCAGCTGGAGAGCTCTATGCTCCTGCCCTGCCCAGATCCTTCTCTGCAGCTACGGGATCAGCTGACGGTGCCTACTGCTGCTTGCACGCTGTCCCCACTCCCCCCTCCGCCCCCAGGCCTGTCCTGTACCCTGTCCCCTTGCTTTCCACACTGTAGCCCTAACACCTCCTTCACATCTCTGAACGGCTCCGAGTCCTTCTGCTCACAGCCGTGGTGTAGCCTGTCTTTCTTGCCATGTGTACTTCCTGTCCTCATCTGAGCTCCTCCATGCCCTGCGGGACCGAAAGAGACATGCTCGGGGAAGTCCTCCCTGACCTCCTTCTCTTTATTGCGATTGTCACCATTGGTCATCATCTGCCACTTGGGTTTGTGTAACTGACTCTATCGCACTAGTGAGGTTTAGGAGGCTGCGTAGGTTCTTCACACTTTCCCTGAGGCTGAGCATTCAACGACAAATGAACAAAGAACCCTTTTGAGGACTCTGAAGAAATGAAGAAAGAAGGTGCAGCCGGAGGTGGCATTTGTAGGTATTCTAGTGTGAATTCATGGCAGAGCCAAGGGACAGCGTTTCAGGAAGGATTGTAGAGCATCGTGATCTGTTAAGAGTTCTCTGAAAGTTTTTGCATCTTAAATGCCATTTGTTGCTGGGAGGAGTCAGAAATGACATAGAGAAATCTCCGAAAAAGTAACCGAGTCCCCTTTCTCCTTCATCCGGGTAGCCCTCTGTTGAGCAGTGAGTACATTCTGATGCCCTTCCCGGAAGTGGACGTTTGCAGCGCCTGTCCTCTGCCTGTCTTGGCAGGTGTGCTGTGACCCTGGGTGGGGCCAGACCAGCGGCATCTGGTGCCCTCACCTGGCTGCCAGGAAAGGTCACTGTCTTTCTAGGTGCCACACCCCCCAGTTCCATCATCTTCGGCCAGCAGTCAGTGTCATGTCTGAGTCTCCATGTGACAAAAGGAGTGGGTGTCAGCCGAAGCAGCCAGCTGATGGCATTTGTGCGTGAGTCTCTTCCGACTTAAATTGGACCTTGTCTGAAATCGTTTTGTACCCAAAAGTCCATAAGCCACTCTCAGAGTTTTCTCTGACCACTGTGCCTCTGATACTGGCCCCAGTGAATTCATGTGGGCCCACCCAAAGTCAACTCAGAGCCCCCAGAAAATCGAGGCTATGTTGTGTTGGTCTGTGGGGCTTAATGGATGTGGCCTCCCAGCATCACAGGTTTCTCATTATTACTCTTGCAGTAAATAGTTTAAGTCCAGATTCTCCAGGCTTAGGAAACATGCACGCCACCCAGCTATGAATTATGTCTGCTGATCCACCGCCACCACCACCCTCACTCCCGCACCCAAACCCCTTGGTCAAAAACTATCACTGTGTGCCTTTCAGCTCACCCCTATATACCACGTTTTCAGATGGGAATCAACAGTTTGGCTCGTTTAAGGGGGATGGTTTGGGAGAGCAGCAGTGAGGCTGGCGGAAGGGTAGTTTTAATTTTTCAGGGCTCTTAATCGAAGTGACTGAAAGTCAACTCCAAAGTCACTGAAGGGGAACAAAAGAAAATGAAAAGTTGGCTCAGATGATGGAGAAGTATGGTTGGATCCAGGGGTGCAGCTCTTCGATGGGGCCTGTCTCTCTGAGCCTCTCCCTGCTCACGTCTGCCCTTCACTCCTTACATGAACCTCTGCAGCGTGGGCAGATGCTGCTGCAGCCCTGGCCGTGTCCTCCATGGGATGGTATTTCCCCCATGACTGTAGCAAGGGTCCCGGGAGTGCCCTGACTACACAGATATGAGTCATGGGCCTTCCCCCATGGCCAGCAAAGGCGGGGGAAGGCTCAGGGTGAGATGGGGCCCTTCTCAGAGAGGAATTTTGTTTGACTAAGAGAAGGGACAAAGGGTTCTGAACAGATCAAGACAACAGAACCACTACATTAATCTCCTGTGGCCGCCCTGTCAAAAAATCCTTAAGTTGAGTAAATTTGAGTTTTTTCCCTTTACCTATTGAAATATTATAATAAATTTTTGCCCTTCATACTCTGAATAATGGAAGCTAATCTTAGCAGCATAGCTGAAAAACTAGATGCAAATTAAATGAATATACAACAGCACAAAAACTCTTAGAAGCTGAGCTGAACATGAGTTATATTCTAACTCTTATATGGAAATGTACTTTGGTCACTTTATACCATAATCAGATCTTATCAGATCTCCATAGTATTTAATAATAAAAGCTTTTCGTAATATTTAGCTGACTTTAATAATAGGTCCTGACTCTAGTGGGGGAAATCCCCACAGATCAATAATCTCGATTCTTAGCAAAAATAGCATTTTCAATAAAAAGCTTTCTGATGAAATTTGGTTTATGTTACACATCTGATCAGCAGCAAAAATTAAAGGATTTTGCCACAGAGCTCCCAAAACTTGAGTGCACCCTGCCTAAATGAATTGGCTTGAATACGTTTTGGAAGTACCAAGTTTGTTTGACACTTTATCTGAAATCTCCAGAACTCCAGCTGGAAGATGACAACCAGAGCATGTTTTACAGTCATCTGTTATAACATCCCTTCATCTGAAAAAGGATATAAAAGATTTTGACTTTAAATTTGCTGACATTAATAATGTATGACATATTCAGGCTTTTATTAGAACCCAATCTTTAATGTCTGTAATCTTATTCAGGAAAGTTAAAACGTGCTTATTATCAATAAAAATAAAACTTGTGATCAGAGATCCAATAGCTTGATGCCGCAAATCACCACAAAAGCAGAAAGTGTAGTTTACCTTTAAATCCAACTCAGCTATTTGCCACTTAAAATTATACTATCTTCAAGCCTGTAATCCCAGCACTTTGGGAGTCCGAGACGGGCGGATCACGAGGTCAGGAGATCGAGACCATCCTGGCTAACACGGTGAAACCCCGTCTCTACTAAAAAATACAAAAAAACTAGCCAGGTGAGGTGGCGGGCTCCTGTAGTCCCAGCTACTCAGGAGGCTGAGGCAGGAGAATGGCGTAAACCCGGGAGGCGGAGCTTGCAGTGAGCTGAGATCGCGCCACTGCACTCCAGCCTAGGCGACAGAGAGAGAGACTCTGTCTCAAAAAAAAAAAAAAAAAAATTATACTATCTGTCTGCTCACCAAGTAACAAATATTATTACCTACAGTGCACATGTTATTTTATTATTACGAAATGCAGATAAAGTCATGGCACAATTTGTGGCTGGTCTTTAATGTGGCACCTGTGGAGGTGACTTGGTTAAGGAGTTTGTTCACTCTCCTTGCTGTCCATCTTGGGCAGCTCTGTGCCCAGGAGCTGTGCGTCCTTGCCTTCCAGCCCGGCTGCTGACTGGTCTGGGAGACCTCGGGCGAATGCTGAGCCTCTCCAAGCCTCTGTCACTTGTCTCATTTGTGGAGCACACTGTCAAGTGCCCGGGGCCCCTGTGTAGCGCAAACAGAACATTGCAGCTGCTGGAGGTGCTGGGGGTTACGGGGCCTCCTGCCCCGCCCAGTCCCCTGGACCACACACACATGGGATCCCAGGACTCATCTCCCACAGCAGCAGCCTGAGAACAACCGGCCAAGCTGCTGCAGATTGAACTGCAACTGGCCAAGCTGCCTCAGATTGTGTTCCCCCCGTTCATATGTTGAAATTCTAAGCCTTAATGTGATGGTACTGGGAGGTGATTATGTCATAAGGGTGATGCCCTCATGAATGGGATTCATGCCCTTATAAAAGAGACCTCAGAGGGCACCCTCAATGCTTCTGCCATGTGGACACAGCAAGGAGGCACCATCTGTGAACTAGGAAATGGGCCCTCACTAGACACAGACACCAAATCTCCTGGGGCCTTGACATAGGGCTTCCAGCCTCCAGAACTGTGAGAAATAAATGTCTGTAATTTTACTTTATAAGTCACTTGGTTTACAGTATTTTGTTATAGGCGCCTGAACCAATTAAGATACAATCAGATCTCTAAGGTTTCTTCTAGAACTTAAACACCATAATTTTATGATAGATTTAAAGAGCTTGAGATGCTCTCTGAGCCTAGTCTTCAATGTAAGAGTTAAAATCCTGCTCACTGCTGAGCATGTCTCATGAAACAGCATCTTGCTTTTTTTTTTTTTTTTACGGTAACTTTCATTCTTTCGTTCTTTTTCATGCAAAGATGTAGCAGTTTAAACATTATTGAACAAGCTGTAGATAAAGTCATTACTTTGTGAGAAAATGCTGGTTCATCTAATATACAGCATGCCAGCCATTGGAAGGGTTTTGTAATGGTCACATTCTAGATCATCGCAGTATGATTCATCCGAAGCACGCTGCTGTGACACCTCCAACCAAAATGCTCAAAACCAGGTAAATTCTGTGCAGTAGGATTTTATGATTAACTTGAGAATGGAAAGAAAAACATTTCATCTCTTGTCCCAAGTCTTGCTAAAACACACAACCGCACACCATCCCTCGGTCAGGGCAGGATGGGAGGCATTGAAACTGCGTGTTCTACATGGGTGAGGAGCCGCCTACCTCACATCTGCCTGAAGGATCCACCTGGCCTGCTTTGGAGTTCACTATTGACCCCAAGGTGAGCAGTCTCCAGGGACATGCCGGCGAATGCGCTCTTCCAAAATAGAAGAGTGAGCAGGGGCCCCGGACGCTGAGGGCTCCCAGTCTGCCATATTCTGGTTGGCTATGGTTTCATTATGGTAGCTAAAGACAGGCCGAGTCTGAGAAGTGGGTATGAGGATTTGCCTGTCTTGTGGAAAAAATATGTAAAATTCTGTGAGAAAAAAATCGTGTTACCCTGTTAAAATAAACACACATTGGAGTGCAAACTGTGCCTCTGTTACAACTGAAAGCAGTAGGTGGTTTTACTTTAATGAAGGATGAGGCGATGAAGCGGAGATGTGTAGAAAAACTACACACAGAGAATGAAAGGAAACTGGGATCCCGGTGCCGCCTCTTTACCTACAAGGTAATGAGTTTGCCTTCAAATTAGAGAGAGGCGGTCGCTTAGAGCCTGCACCACTCAGGGACTTGCCCTCGGTCAGGACGCACAGCTGCAGTGCTCCCGTCTCCCAGGCGCACATGAATCCTTGTTTGTTCTGCAGCAGAAATCTTCCCTTTGAGATGTCCTGGCTGTCACCTGGCTGGGTCACAGCTCCAGGTGAAGTCCAGGCAAGAGAAGGACGAGGGATCACTGAGTCCCCCGAGCCTGCCCCCATGTAAAGGCTCTCCTGACTCTAGGGTTGCAGTTGACTTAATTATCCTCACACAGAAAGGCCACCTGCACTCTTGGTGCATTTTTCTCTTCCCACTCCCCCTCCTGCCACTGAGACACCTTGCCCAGGCATCCTCCCCCTGGCCACCGCTTTCTTGCTCTGGTATCCTTAGCAGTCAGGAGGACTGAGCACATTAAATCTTCATATGCCAGCATTCAGGGTCTCCCATCCCTTCTGTTCTAGATGACCCTGGCTCTGGCCACTGGGCAGGATCAGGGTGCAGGGAAGGAAAGGGACCTGCTTTCTCAGCAACCCAGCAACTTGGTCCCATTGACGTCTTTCCCACACAGTACCCCTCCAGCCTGCCAAGACCTGTTAACTGCTGTTCTGGGGCCCTGGCCTATCACTGGTATTATATTTCTTATCCAAAATCTTCATTATCTGAACCTCAGCCCCTCTCCCATCTGTAGACACAGGGGCCTGTTCATTCTGTAGAGAAAGAGAAAAGGTTTGTCTTCGCCTGGGCGTGCAAGCGGGCAGGGAGGGAGTGGAATAGATTGTTGGCACCCCAATTCAGAGTCCTAGTTTCATTTCCCATAGAAATCATATTACAGATGATAATGCTTTCCATAGAAACCATGCTGGACGCCAGTCACTATCAGAACTATGCTTCTTGACTATTATGGATTGAATGGGGATTTACTGGGTGTGCAGTCTGTGCCACATCACTGGCTGGGTATGTTGGGCCAATTCCCTGACCTCTTGTAGCCTCAGTTTCCTCATTTCCATGACTGAAGAAGTTGCCCACTTTGTCACAGGACTGTTGTGAGAGTTTAGATAACATAGGTGTCAGTAAAGTCAGGTGCCTCTCCATCCCCAGACACCTGCCTCTTGAATTTCACTGCACCAGCAGCTACATACAGCATTGCTCCCATGCAAGAGCGTTTGCTTCCCAGGTGGCAAAGTCTGGCAGGCAGGCTTTCTGTTTTGGTGGCCATCTGACACTGATAGGATGATGACCAAGTGTTTTTAAAGAGGGCTTTGGCCTTCTTTTGGTAAAATACCATTTAGAGCAACAAGAAAGCCACAGCTTAGTTAATAAGAGTAATCGTTGTTATCCACAGAGCACTTCCTGTGCTTTATAGCATCAGCTGAATGCCGGTGCCTCTCATGGGCCCGATGGCATCTTCCTGAAATTCATACGAAGTCCCAATCCCCAGGACCTCAGAAGGTGATTATGTTTGGAAATAGAGCCTTTACAGAAGTGATTAAGTTAAAATGAAGTCACTGGGGTGGGCCCTCATCCAGTCTGACTGGTGTTCTTATAAAAAAGGAGATTGGAACACAGACACACTCAGAGGGAAGACCACGTGAAGACACACAGGAAGAAGACAGCATCTGCAAGTCCAGGAGAGAGGCCTTGCAAGGAACCAACCCTGCCAGCACCTTGATTTGGACTTCCAGCCTCCAGAACCGTGAGGAAATAAATGTCTGTTGTTTAAGCCACCCAGTCTGTGGTACTTATTATGGTAGCCTGAGCAGACTAACATGTTCACATCTGGGGGGTAAGAAAATCAGTACACAGACATTTATTAAGTAATTTGACCAAGAGCATGCAGCTCTCTGTCAGTCTGCACTGACCCTCTGAGTTGCCCCAAAGACTACTTAGATCACATTTGAGCAAAACAGGTTAAAATTGCTGCTGCATTCTTGCTATGTACAGTGTTCCAGTCTTAATGGAGAAGTATAAGCTCTGTGCAGGCAGAAAGCATGCTTGTCTGCTCATTTCACCCCCCACCAAAGTCTAGATTGGTGCCTGGTATGTCTCAGGAACTCAGTGGCTGTATTAATTTAAATTACCGTATTTTGTTTTTGAAAGAAGTCACTAAAGTAGAACATTCATGTATCAGTTATAAAGTGTCTGTATAACATATTGTGGTGGCCACTCTCTAATGTCTTTTCTGCTGATCTTGTCACCTTTATCTTCATGGCCTGATGAATATTCCAAAACCCGCTCTTCCACAGGCGTTTTTTTCTCAAATAGCTTTTGGAAGTTACATGTTTGCAAAGGTCCATTAAAAGTTTATTGTTCATTGTTATTTCTTGACATCATTGTTGCCAATAAAAGTCGGCCTCAGCCTGGCCCCCGTGGTCCCAGCTTGCTAGCTGTTTGATAAGGCCATAAGGCCTTCCTGGTTGAGCTTCGGGCACCACTGCCTTCTGGACAGAAAAAGTTCGCTTTCATGGATGGCCTGCCTTCCGGATTGTGGAGCTGTAGTGTTATCATGGTGCTCTCATTGTGTAGTTGAACCATCCTGCGTTTGAAATCCCATGAAAGGATGAGTTCTCAGATTTGGAGGTTTATGCTTTTATATAATGTGAGTTAACCCAAAGTAGAAATCTAAGTGTTTCACCTGTTCTAATATTCTGGCTTACTCTTGTGTCTCCCATTCATGTGAATAAAAAGTGGTACAAAGAGAAACATCAGAGGACATTAGCATAAATGAATCAGTGTATTCGCTCTGAAACGTATGTGGCCTCACATGCCTCCCGGTGCTGCGTGGGTGCACGTCCTAGGGCAGTGGCTGCTGGGCAGGGCCGATCTGCCCCAGGGGGGCGGCAGCTCCAGCTCTCCACCATTGAGGACAATCAGCCTTTTTCCCCTCTTGACCTCCTGCCCACTCAGCAAGGCGATAGAAGCACAAGTAATTATTAGGACTGATCCCCCTTTATTCTAGTTTAAGGAAGAAAAGGAGAAAGAGGTACAAGAAGCTACCCATGGAAGTGCTTTGAGGAAGTCATTTTGAGGAGTCTACAAATGACTAATCCTCCACACTGGTTAAGATAGAGGTCAAAGCAGAGCTGTGGTGGGAGCACTCATCTCTTAGGACAGCTAGGGAAGGCCACGTCTGCCTGTGTGGGGTGTGTCCCCAACTCTGGGGCTGACATGCTTTCCTCTCGTAGAATGTTCCAGAATTCCATGCATTTTAACACAGTTAAAACATTTTTACCTTAGGGCTTTTCTAGCATTTTTCATCACGCACAGGAAGAAATGTTTCCCATTCTGATTCAATACTCACATGTGTGACTGAAGAAACAGTACTTACTGTAATTGTGTTCGATGCACTGAAATTTTCTACTTTATTCCCTTAAATTCAACACATACCTGTAGGCTGGTTGCAACCCATTAAAGTGGTTTTTATGATCCACTAGTGGGCTTTGAATCACAGTATGAAAAATTGTGTCTTCAATTTAAGGTATCAGCTAAGTTTTCCTAATGCACTCATCACAATCTGTTGTGGGAAATTAGTCTGCTGTTTTGAAAGAAGAGAAGAATTGTAAGACGAGAAGAAAGGTGAAGATGATGGGTTTTGCCCATTAGGGCTGTTGTGCTGTCCAGGGGTGAGGGGTGAGGGCAGTGAGTGTCCCAGGAGTGGAGGAGGCAGTGGCAAGGCAGCTGGGGGCAGGGCAGATTATGCAAACTGTGCTCCCTAAGACTGGACGGTCTTAAGAGTTCTAATGGGTCTTTGAATTCATTTAGTCTGACTTCCCACCCATTCAAGGAATGAAAAAGGTATTTTGTCTGCATTTATACTTTATTTTTTTCAGAGGCACAGGGATGCTCTAAAAACGGTTATTTCAGAAGGGAACCTTCTACTCTTCTCGTTATCTTTTGTGTCAGTGGTACTTCCGCATTTTTTGGTTTTGTTTGATTTTAGAGACAGGACCTCACTCTGTTGTACAGGCTAGAGTGCAGTGGAGCGATCACGGCTCCCTGCAGTCTGGAACTCTGGCTCAAGCCATCCTCCCACCTCAGCCTCTCCAGTAGCTGGGCCCATAGATGTGCACCACAGGTGGCTAATTTTTTTTTTTTTTTAATTTTTTGCAGACACAGGGTCTTGCTATGTTGCCTAGGCTGGTCTCAGACTCCTGGCCTCAAGCAATCCTCCCGCCTGGGCCTCTCAAAGCCTGGGATTCCAGGCGTGAGCCACCGTGCTGGCCCTGTGACGTTTTTATGGGTAAAATAGATCAGTTTAAGTAGTTCTCAACTTTAAGTAACTTCACAACTACAGGAGGCAGCTGCCAGCAACCTTATTTTTCTGATGGTAATTACAGTTTGTAAGCACTGTCCATGTGTCCCCTTGTATTTAACCGCCAGAGAAACTGCGTGGAAATCCCAGTAGACTAGGGAGTGGGTTGGTGCCCAAGTGCCCCGCGCCACTGAGCCTTGCTGTGTCTCCACAGGCCTTGGCAAGACGCGCAGGAAGACCAGCGCGCGGGACGCGTCCCCCACGCCCAGCACGGATGCTGAGTACCCCGCCAATGGCAGCAGCGCCGACCGCATCTACGACCTCAACATCCCGGCCTTTGTCAAGTTCGCCTATGTTGCCGAGCGGGAGGATGAGCTGTCCCTGGTGAAGGGGTCGCGTGTCACCGTCATGGAGAAGTGCAGCGACGGTTGGTGGCGGGGCAGCTACAACGGGCAGATCGGCTGGTTCCCCTCCAACTACGTCCTGGAGGAGGTGGACGAGGCAGCTGCGGAGTCCCCGAGCTTCCTGAGCCTGCGCAAGGGCGCCTCGCTGAGCAATGGCCAGGGCTCCCGCGTGCTGCACGTGGTCCAGACGCTGTACCCCTTCAGCTCAGTCACCGAGGAGGAGCTCAACTTCGAGAAGGGGGAGACCATGGAGGTGATCGAGAAGCCCGAGAACGACCCCGAGTGGTGGAAATGCAAAAATGCCCGGGGCCAGGTGGGCCTCGTCCCCAAAAACTACGTGGTGGTCCTCAGTGACGGGCCTGCCCTGCACCCTGCGCACGCCCCACAGATAAGCTACACCGGGCCCTCGTCCAGCGGGCGCTTCGCGGGCAGAGAGTGGTACTACGGGAACGTGACGCGGCACCAGGCCGAGTGTGCCCTCAACGAGCGGGGCGTGGAGGGCGACTTCCTCATTAGGGACAGCGAGTCCTCGGTAAGTGCGCTGCGCCCGCAGCTCTGGCTGGAGGCAGTAAATGCGCCTTGCACAGTGGCTCTGTGTGCCGCGCCCATTTCACATTGTGTGAGTACACTAGAAAGGCGAGAGATGCAGATGAATGCAATTTAGTGTAATGTTTGCTACTCCATGATTTCCTTGCATCTGTTTTGGGGATCGTGGGTGTCCATTTCTGGAGGTGGGAGGTTAACTGAAAAAATGTTTGTAGCTGACAAAGGTGGTTCTGCTTCTCTCCGAAGATTGCCCCTCTTGTATTTTACAGACTCAAACGTCATTTTCTCTCCTGGTTGCCCATTGTGTGTACGTAGAAGGCCCGAGTGATTTACTTTGTTTCCACTCGGTCTGTTTCCCAGAGAAAGCAATCTTTGCAAGACTGGTGGCCGGTTTCTGACACCGCCTTTTGTTGTTTGCTTGCTTTCTCTTTGTAAACCGTATAATCCCAAGGTCATTGCCACGGCAGGCAGCGCCACTGAGTTCATCTCTGAAAAGCTTTTAAAGCACTTACGAGATGAATTGAAAAGAAAACAAGGGTTCTTGAGAGAGATGAGTTTTGTGTGTGTGCAGTGAGTGGGAGATATGAAGCCACTGGACTGGGGCAGCAGACCCACTTCCAGGGGTGGGCAGGCTGGGGGCAGTGAGTTTCAGACGTGGGGGTGGAGCCTGCATCCCAGAAGGCAGCCTTTTCGTGTGTGAAGGAAATATTCGACCAGTTTTGCAAACGTCTTTACAAATACACCTTCTACAATCGAGAGACTTCCAAAACAAGCATTTAGGAGTTTGATGTATTTGAATTGTATTGGTTCTAGTAGGCTTCAATTTCATTTTTAAATGCACACTGTAAGACTAGTAAGTATGTACTACCTGCTGCCCCTGCTGTCCTCTGAAAAGGTTACTGGCACAATAAATAAGTGCACATTCAGGAGTCCTGTTGACTGATCAGAGAGGCATTCAAAGCCCTCCAGAGAGAGGCAAGTGGGATCTTCTCCTCTTTGAGGAAGGAGCATCGTGGTGGTGGAAACTGGACTCCTTTGTGGTGTCATCAGTTTTGCGGAGCCTTAGATGTGCTTGGACGGGAATGCCAGCCTGAAAGCTAACTTCATCTGAAATCTGAACTCTGAGATTTTCTTATCAAGTCACCAGAGTTTATCATTCCTGGCAAGACATCACATTGAATTGTTCTCACATGACGAGAGCTCTGTGCACCATTTCCTTTAGATCGGGTTTGAAGCCTTAAGCAAATTAAGGACAGCAGCGCTTTTAACTCAATCGAGCAGAAACTTAGAGAAAGTGCTGGAAAATCAATTACAATATTAAGTGCTTGGTCCAGAGTCCTTAAGGGCTAAGTATAATGCACAAAATATGATCTTGGCTTAAAATGTTTGAGTTTGAAGAGACTTCTCAGAAGGAAGTCCTGCAGTGTGGAGACATTGCTCCCAGTCGTTCTTCTTTCTGCCTAAGATTTGGGGAGATGAAGAAAGACTTTAGAGAGTAGATGAAAAAGGTGTTCTCCAGGGTTGCTGGCCTTAGGGAGGACCTATGGCTTTTCTGTGGAACATGCACAGGTGGTCATTGTTGTCTGAATTCAGGGACCAGATCCCTTTGGATAAGGAGGGATGCATGCATTGGCTGGGTTTCATCTCAGAACTCTACACCCCACTGTCTCAGTTGCCTTGCATTGTTAGAGAATGAGCTAACTTTTTCAAAAGTACTAAAGCACTAATTGTTTGTATTTCCTTTTAACAATTTTTTAATTGGGGGCCTTTCAAGATGTTTTGCATTCTCTCCTAACTTAGAAAGTCAAGGAGCAACATGTATGATTCCAGGAATATAGGGTGGAAAGGGCTTTACTGGCACTTGCATCGGCTCTGCACACATAGCAGCACCGTCTTGGTCTGAGGCTCCACGTGGCCTGATGCTGTGCAGGGCAGCTTGTCCTGATGGATCTTGCTGTGACACAGGCCATTTTCAGCGCTTAGTGTGCATGCCTTGTGCCACGGGGATTCTACAAGAGCCCTGAGGTGTGTGGCTTCTTTTCTCCTGACCGCAGAACCGGGCCAGGTTTGCTGCGTTTCCTGTTCATGACCAAGGCTGTTCTCAGCTGTCATCTGTGACTGCCGGGGACCTGTCCTGGTGGACAAGTGGACAAGTCCTTTGCTTGTTTTTTTTCCCCACCATCCGCTGCCTCCCCCCATCCCCATGTGTTTCCCTGCTCATTTTGCCATTTCTCAGGTTAGAGCTGGCTTTCACAGCCACCACCAGGCCACCAAGAGCCCTTAGGTTCATGTTCTGACATAATTCCTTCACAGCATGCCAGGATGGAAAGGTTTCTGAGGGGTTCAGCCTCCCTGCAGGACTCAGAGGCAGGCATCTTCATTTAATTTCCTTTTTTCTTGGAATCTTTGGGCCTGGACCTTTCATTGAGGTTACCACATGAAGCCTGGCTTCTGGATAAGCACAGCTGTTTCTTTTGGAATGGATCTTCAACATGCGTATCAGTTTTTAAAATACCCTGAGTGACTGCAGTGTAAATGAGCTAGACCCTTGCTTGATGATATTGAGAGGTGCTTATTTCAGGGAGGACAAACATTGCCACATCCTGCACTATCCACTATCAGTAAGTGCTGGGTATTTCAGAAGTATCTGTTGGATATGTTAGATGAATCAGTGAACTAACAAATGAACGAACCTGTTGGGCCCTCTTTCCTGTCCTGAACGTCAGTGCCTACTGCTTGTTCTTCCCTTTCTTCTTCCTCCCTCGCTCTCCTCTCTCATCTACAATTGTCGTTTATCCTTAGCAGCTAAAGGTGATATATTGTTGGTGCTTATTCTCCATATTTCATTATCATACCTTCAGCTATGAGCTATACCTGCTTAAATCCAGAAAACTCAGAAATCCTACTCACCCTGTGTGTGTCCCTCATAAATCCTTTTATATTTTGTCCACATTGATGCTATGGATGTGGCTAGAAAGCTGTACTTAAAATGAACAGTAACCCTTTACTGGGTTTCTGGTAAACTGTACAAGTTGTCAGTATTTTATTAATTGCTGCATCCCCCATCCTTGTAAAAGTTGTTCAGAAAGTGACAGATCACAACTAGGATATGGTTGGAAAAGGTGCACAGCTGGCCTGGGTGACTTGCTGGACAGCATCAGCCACAAGTCTGGGAAGCCATTTTCCTCTGTAAGATTTTAGATACCGAAGAGGTCATGTATTTATTGTGTCCTGCAATAATATTAGATACTAATATTGTCATACAATACATTTGTTTCCAATAGAGAAAAACTCTCCTGCTAAGGATAATTTAATGCACATATTGGCCATACTAAAAGTCAATGGATGTTTCATTTCTCTTTTTAAAAATACATTAAAAGAGTTTGGCCAGGAAATTAATTAGAATAGTTCCTTTCTGTATTTTCAAAGTTATAATATTTCTTATAGAAATTATAACTTCTACCCAAAACTCTTATTTGCAGGCAATTTCATCATTCCATTTCTCTAAATAATGATTCTCAAACTGTGTACTGTGTATCAGAATTGCCTTGAGGCTTGTTAAAACAGAAATTGCTGGGTCCTACCTGCAGTGGTACTGATTCAGGAGGTCTGGGGCCCAAGAATTTGCATTTCTATTAATAATACGTTTCTTGGTGGTGATGCTGCTGCTTTGGGGACCACACTTTGAAAACCCTTGATCCCTATGATGCATTCCTGGTGGTTTTATACATTCTTGCGACTGTTATTAAAACCATTTCTGCATAATACTACATTTCCAAAATTATAAAACGATTGTCACAAAGCTGACCTTCATTTAGAACTATAGCTTTTGTTGAGTGGAATTTATCTCTTGAAGTGTATTTCTGTTGAGTTTTTTGGGGTTTTTTGTTTTGTTTTGGTTTTGGTTTTTTTGTTTTTTACTGTTTCGAGTTTGAAAATAAACTTGCTGTGTTTCTGCTGGTGAATTGGAAGGAGGCAGATTGTCAGAGCAAAGTGAAAATTGCTTCCAGGGTTTCATGGTTAGGCTCTGTGATCTGTAGGTGTTTCTTCATAAATGAGTTAATGTTAAGATGACTTAACCTTAGGTTGCTATGAGCAGTGCCTGTAGGCATCCTTCCAGTTTCAAAGATAACAAGTTATTTTTAATTGCCAGGCTTTTTGCCCAGTACAAAATGGAAGTTTTAAGCCTGGATTTTTGTAATAGTTCTAATTTTAAGCATATTTAACTCTTGAAGATGGAAGGGCCTGCAAGACCATGCAGTGCAGGCTGTTATCTAGAAGTTTAGTGCTCATCACCTGATTCTGATTCTGCCTCCTCATTCTGGCTGGCTCTTCAATGCTGACCATTAAAACACAGCAAGCAATGCATCATTTACTGGGATCTGTGAACACAGGCGTCTTACTAAAAGCTAGTGCTTTTAATACAATCAGTAGCAAACCTGGTCAGTAAGAGGTTCATAATTTCTTTCGGGACCATGGCTCTTGGTTTTTCCCAGAAGGTGGAGTTGTGCTGGCCTCGTTCTGGGAGCTCTCCACGGTTGTCATGCACTGGGGTTAAAATTGCAGTGTGGCTGCAAAAAAATCCGTGACTATATTGTCTTATAGATTTAGACATCTCTTTGGTTTACAGAACACCGTTGTGTTACAGTGTCCTACAGTGTTGAGTAGAGTAACATATTGTGCAGGTTTGTAGCCTGGGAGCAACAGGCCATACATTATAGCCTAGATGTGTAGTAGGCTGTACCATCTACGTTTGTGTAAGTTCACCCTGATGTTTGCACAATGACCAAATCGCCTGATGATGTATTTCTGAGAATATATCCTGTCATTAAGCCATACATGGCCGTGTGTGTGTGTGTGTATACGTGTATATAGATATACACACACATATAAATATACATAATATATACACACATATATGTAAAATGGCCCTTCTGGTAAGTGTGAAGTGGTAGCTCACTGTGGTTTTGACTTGCATCACCACAT